CTGGCCAGGAATCGTGTGTTTTGGACGAGGGTGACCCTCACAGTTTACCATGCTTGAAAGAACGCTACGGTTAATAGAGCAATGGTAAATTTCACTGAAAGCATGTGTCAAGTTAAATGTGATGGGCTGGATTAGCAGCTGGAGCAGTTTCCTGGACCAGCGCTTTAGTGGAATTGATTTCCCGGAACCATTCGGGACTTCATGATTTAATAAGGTAATTTCGTTTGAGGCGTCTACTATCATATGTTGGGTCGTATTTGTGACTTCGACCCCCTTTCGAAAACACAGGAAAAAAGTTATTTGGATCACAACTGTGTGATGTGCGACTTATCGAGCAGTTGCATATCAAGTTGATGGCGTTACATTACCCTTGGTTTGCTCTTAAGTTCAGCACTGATCCGTCTTCAGCACTACTGGTCTTGGCCTTAGATTCACTGTTCAACCGGCTGAACTGCGTACCCATGAACGGGTCGGTGCAGCGGCACTAATAATGACGGAGAACAGCTCGTTTTGTTGTTTGTTTTGAGGATGACTGCATCGTTTTCGCGCCGGACACGGCGGAAATCCAGCAATTGTAAGAAGAATTTTTCATCGTCGGATTGGAGGGCAACCTATTTAGGAAAAATGAAAATGGAGGCAAAATGAACATGGCGCTGGAGGCTCTGCATATTCGAATTGCGAAGAAGTTCAGCTATGTATACATCAGCGTGAAGTGGACCGCGTGAACTCGTTAAACGGAAAAATCAGCGAAAGAAAGAAGGCGATGTGGACCAGTTTCAACCGACTAAAACATCACTGTTCTATAGTGAGTTACCCATGCGAGTGAAGAAGAAACTGGCTATTTCCACCCTATTGCAGGCTGCTATTTATGGCGCTTATTGCAATTCAACTACGAAAACAAATGAGTGGGTTCACAAAGAGCGACGGATTAAAGAATGCACAAAGTCTTATTCTTAAATCATATTCCGCGTACACATTCCAGCCAATGGCCTGGATTAACGAACCTCATCTCTTTATACTGCAACGCTAGACAGAAACGAGTCGCTCATGTAGCTCGCCTGATGGAGGATCGGTAGACTCAACAATTGGGAACTCGACTTTGCTTGACTACCAAATGTTCTATCGATCGTTCAAAACCACGTTAAGACTACCTGAAAATCAAATTACTTTGTCTGAGTTTGAAGCGGAAAGGGCAAAATGGGCAAGGTTTAAAAACGGCGGGCACAAATTTTTTGCGCACCCAAAAGAAGACAAATGTGATGAAGGAGATTCTACTTGACTTTCATTTTCATCATTGACAGGCGTTTGAGAAAAAGTCGTTATTAAAGTATCAGTTCTTCTGCCAGGTTAGGAAATTAGTAACTCCACTACACCGTATCCGGTTCCTAACTTACGTTGACATATCAGTTAAGCAGGAGGGCTTACGTGAAGTTTCTGCAAAAGACCTTAAGAAAGTTCGTAGTCTTGCATTCATTAGTCAATTATTTTTTCATTCATTGATCCTCAGATGACCTATAGTGTTATTTAATACAGCTTGTCAATAAATCAACATTACTGTCTAATATAAACATTAAACTTTTTTTCTGTACTTCTTGAGACTCGAACACAATGCACCAGAGGTTGTTTTGCAGATGTTCTAGAAATGATTTAAAATTATTCAGCGACATTAATGGGCTTAACTTCATAGATTTAAGGTAGTAAAAAGAAAATGATGCATACAATGATCAGAAACACTGTAGATCGTTTCAAGTAATCAAGGCAACTTTCGTTAGAGTACGGTGACTTCAGCCCAGAAGTAAATCCGAAGCATAGCATATGAACATGGAAGCTTATCAAAATTGTTGAAAGATCAGAAAAGAACGATATAGCTTGTAAAGCTGTCGTTTTCTCAATTTGCAGCACAGCGTTGAAAAACTTCAATGTGAAGAACGTCAAGGAGATTGACCATGCTTTATCAGTGTTTCTGAAAACTTATGAATATACAGTATTACTGCTTAATTAAGAAGTCCATGGATCCACTGTTGCCTGCCCAAACACGAATGAGAAAAGATGAGGGATGGAAACCGTAGCAAAGTTTCCCATTAAACTTAGCGACCAGTTTATTCTGGTATTGAAGGTTATACCTGATCAGTTATCACCCGATTTACCAAGAGCCGGCAGGCCATTGGGAAACTGAAGCAGGGTGCAAAAGGTCGACCATCAGAACCTGCTTCATGCTTTTCGAAAGCCCTGGGTGAAGCAGCACACCGACGGCTGATGAAAATCTACAGAAAGATCTCGTTGTACCAGCCAGAAATGGAGATGCTATCCGTTTTGAGTGGAGGAGCTAGACGACGCGAAGCTATGTCAGCACGTCAGATAAGATTCCACAGGAAAGATTCCTACGTTGAGAGCTTACAATCGAAAATTGGAACATGTTCTCACTCAAAGAGAAAGCGAGAGAGCCAGTTGATAAAGCCGCAAGGTGCCAACTCGACAGAGTTTGACTTTTATCAACAAAACGCCAGGGATCTGGAATTCTGAACCTCTGCGTAGAACTTCTTTTTGTTGAAGTATCGAAGCTACGATCCGCGCTCAGGTCAACAAGAGTTATTGCTCTGATAGAACCTAACCTGGCGGTTAGAATCACTGAATGGAAGCCTATCAGTGGTGAAGCTACAACACGCTAAAGCGTTAATCTTGATGCAGGTCTATGCGCCTATGCGCCAATTTGGATGGAGAATATGAGACCTTCCTTGAGGAAGTGCAGTGGGCTCTGTCCAAAGTGACGAATACAGAGTCTCCCTCATACTCATGGGTGATTTTGATGCCCATGTCTGAGTAGACGTTGAAAAGTGGAACGGCGTGATTGGGAAAAACGGTCATAGCGACCTCAATAATAACGGCATGAAGTTGTTGCGGTTTTGTGCAAACAACGGATTGTCCATTATGAACACGTTCTTCGAGCATCAAATAATGCATCAGTACACCTGATATCGGGAAACTTGTGCACAGAAGTCGATGATCGATTTGATAATCGTATCGTCTGACCTAACACGCTCAGTAATGGATGT